TTGGAGTGGAAAAATAAGAGGTTGAGCGGAGTGAAGTGAGAGGGTTTCCACAATCTCAATCTAACCTTTTTGTTCATCCTTCACTTTGTAAGGATTCTTATGTAGGTACAAGCATGACGAAGGGAGAACACGAGTTCCCAATAGAGAGCCTACAATTGAAGGTGTGATGGCTGAACTTTTGGGATGTCCCAACATTTCTAAGGGAGTGTCATTAGGTAAAGAAGATCTTTCTTGCGAGCGTCAAGGTACAATAGCTAAACTTAACACTTTTACCATTGCAAATGAACAAAGTGTAAATGATAGCTTGTCTTTAAGTGAGCCTAATGTTTCTTCACCATGTGTTGATAATGTGCATGTTGAGAGTGTGGATACACTAGTTGATCGTATTGATGACCGAATTGATTCTTCTAGTAAGATCGATTTGTGTCCACCTAGTGTTGACACCCGTGTTTTGAGTGATCGTTCATTATCATGTGATGAGTGATCGTTCATTATCATGTGATAATTTTTTTGATCAACTTGCATTTGAGTGTAGTTCACTAATTGAGGGAGCTTGTGATGTTATTAAGGAACCTCAATTTGGTGATACTAATTATAATGTTGATCGTTTGAATATGAGTGACTCTTTGAGCATATCTTTTTGTGGAAGATACGATTGCTTTCTTTGCTCATAGAGATCATGTGCTTGAAAATGCTTCGAAAAATGTTATGTGTCCTTTTGAGGGTGAACTTGCAGGTTTTAATTCTCCCATGATGGTTGATCATTCCCTCTTTAAGTACAATATCTTGTTTGAAGATGATGAAATCACTCCTAGTGATGTACCTAGTGGTGTGAATCATGAGAGTAGTGTAGTTCTTGATAGCTATACTTTTTATAGTAACCCACTATGGTGTGAAGCTTTTCCTCCCAAAGATGGAAATCTCTTTTTGGAAGATGAGAGTACTCTTGTGAGGAAGGATTGTGTTGAGGAGGAAGGTGGTGTTTGTTTTCCCATTACCTCTTCTTCTTGGTGTGTTTCAATTCTTAATGGTATGACCCATGATTTTGAGCCTATTAGTAGTCATACCTATGAAAACACCTTAGAGGAAGTTGATTTGCGAGACATCTTTCTCTATTACTTGTTTACATATGATGATGCTCACACTTTTGAGTGGAGTATGTTGTTAGAAGATAAGAGTGTCAATCGTGCAAAAGGGGGAGTACTTAATCCAAGTTCATGGAATTCCTTCCCATTTGACCCCGGTAGTGAATTGAATTGCTGCACTTGTGTAGTGATGCTTGGTCAAGAAGACAAGTATCATTTGGATGGATCTGTTGACACATTTCCCTACGATGGAAAGTCCTTCTTGAGGGTTTACAATCCACTTGAGGAGCCTACATTGTGTATGGGGAAGGTTAGTTTCCTAAACCCTTTTCTTTGTTCTTGCTTTGAGTATGATCTTGTTAGTTGTACATTTTATGGAGGTAGGAGTTCTTTGTTGAGAGAAGGTGAAGTTTATTTTAAATTTGCCATGATGTCTTTGTGTGTTCCTTCTTGTAGTGTAATGTGTGTTACGATCCTTGAACCTAGTTGTGATCTTACATAAAGGAACACCTTAGATGTCCCTAGTGTGCATGACACCTTTCTGTATTATCTATTTGCATATGATGATACTCATGTTTTTCTGGGTACTCTATTTTATGTTAATAGTGGAATCAATGGGGCAAATGAGAGTCTCCTTGACTCAATGCTATATTTTTCCTTCCCATTTGACCCCGATGTTAGTCTAAATTATGATGGGTATGGTAGTAACACCCTCTTTCTTTCTTATGATTCTTACTTGGTGTTATTACTTGAGCCTATGTGCTTGAATGAAGGATGTTTACCAATATGCGTGGGGAATACTTGTGTACTTGACCCCACTCATGAACTGGGAATAACTGCATTCTCGAAGCTAGATAGTGCATTGGATGGAGCCTTAATTTGGGTTAACATTGTTTATGCCTTTGCACTTAGGTATGAGAATATTCACGTGCTACTTGACTTAAAGGGGGAGTTGTGCTTGTTGGAATGTGGAACCAATGAGGGTTTACATGTGTGGTTGCCTAAGAACAATGGTTCCCTCACTTTACCCCTTTGTCAAATTTTCTTAAGTAGCCAAGTATCTCTTGTTTTGGTGGGTTACAAACCCTTGGTTGATCATTTTGATGCTTGGTTATATGATAAGTTTGTGCATCCTTGGCATGGTGATAGAATAGTTATTGCTAACGCTAACCCTCATGGGTAACCCTCATGCCATGAGGATCTTGTTGTTATTTGTTTTCCCTATGGTTTTGTATGGTTTGGATTCGAGGACGAATCCTTTTCAAGAAGGGGAGAATGATGCAATACAGATTGCCTCAAGTCCATTCACTAGAAGCCAAGCTCGAGAACTTCAATGTATTAAAGGTTTGTGCATGAAGCTAGGGGTTCTTGAGCTTGTATTGGTGGCAAGGAGAGATTCCCATGCATGGAAGATCGCTTGGGGAAGTGCAGGGAAGAAGATTGGAGCTGCTACTTTAGGCGAGCAGCAAGAACCGTTAGGCGCATCGCCCATTGGACCACAAGACCGCCGAAAGTTACAACAAGCTGCCAAGGGAGAAGGTTCCATCGCCGAACCAGTCGGCGACTCGCCAAGCCCACTAGGCGAGCCCCGACCCAGCTCGCCCTTTATCCTTATTGGGCCACTTTTGGGCCTCTTATGATGTAATAGCCTAAAACTATAAATAGGCAGTTTAGAGTTCATTTTTAGGTAGACTATTTTGAATATTGATGAATGATGAATTGGATCTCCTTTGAGAGACTTGAGAGCTTGGTAAAGCTTTTGTTGAACTTTATTTAGAAATGGGGGTTGCTTGGAGATTCAATTTCCTTGAGGTCTTCGTAAGAGATTCGGTGCTTGATTGTGGATTAATCGATTGAGGTCTTTAGGTTTAATATACCTTTAGGTTGCTTTTGATTTTCTTTTCTTGTGTCAATCTATTTATCCGGATTAGGTGCTTATTTAGGATTGAAATTGGAGGTTATAGGATTTAATACATCCTTTAGCTGCCAATTGTTTCTTATCTTGTATCTCTTCTTCTATCTTTATTTTTGTTTCTGCATTTTAGTTGTGATTCCTTTTGAGAATTACATCAAATAGTTTCAAAGACTACTTCCAAGAAGATGTAGGGAGAGGTATATCCTACAACCATCATAAAATACATCTTGAAAAGGGCGGGGATTTGAAAAGGTATTCGTACTACTTACTGTTTTTTCGTAGATTTTCTTTTTACAAATTACTTATTTCAAAAGTTTCTTCTAGGATAGTTTTGCTGGTATACCTAGACTATTCCACCGATCCCTTTATCCACAGGTATTGAGTGGGCTTTGATAGATGGATTTTAATTCCTACACTAAGATTTGTATTTGAAACTTCATGGTTTCCCTCTCATTTCATTGACCATTAGGGCACGTCCTTGTAAGAAAATTCAGCTCAAAGCTAGATATAGAGACTTAACTAGCCTATTCTATGGCTTCCAGAGTATTCCACCCTGTTGCAAGTTGTGCAACTTTTAGCAAAAACCTCTTCCCTCCTACCCTAAAGAGTAACTAAGAGAAGAAATAAGGTAGGACAATTGCACATAATTAGTAGTGTTAACTATTACTTTAACCATGCATGAGATGTTTAAACTATAAAATACAGCCAATTGAGTTCCGAAGTTTAATGTTATTTCTTTCACTAGTAGCTTCTATTTTATGTTGTTTTATGATTTTGAAGAGCTTGAGTTTTTACACCAACTTGTTGCTCATTCAAGAAAATCTATTTATTAGCAAATTCAGTCAGCCTACTGAGTTGGTTGACGCTATCAATTAACATAGTTCTTTAATATTGTGCAACTTTCACAATTGAAAACAAGAAGTAGGAGGCCAAAGAGGTTCGTATCTTGCAGTAAATGTTTCTCTTGTAGGTCTCCAAGATAGCAGTGAATGTACCAAAAGGCATATGAGGAACAAGACAAATTTACAATTTTAGTTCTACTATTCGTTCAAGTCAAACAATACTCCTCACTCTTTTCTTTCTTTAAGATATGAAAACATATGGTGAGTTAGAGATTGATGAAACCCAATTTAAGGTATTGATTCGTTCCAAAAGGATATTGTTTCCAAGTTGCGTGATATTATTCTACAAGTTTCATATATTTGTGATTATCATGTCCAAATACACTTAAAATTTGTAATATTATTCATTTCCTTCTAGAATATTGACATCCAATATATATCCTGAAAATGCAACCCCACAAATCCTCCTCAAGTAGTATCACTGTATTTTAGTGGTTAAGATGCTTACTTTCATTACCAAAAATCATTTGGTCATCTTACAATTCCAATCTTAAAACTTTCTTTATATGACATTAATTATTTGGACACGTTTTTATTTCCTTGAAGTCGCGCAAAGGGCAGGCATATTTACTACTCCCTCCGTCCCTATTTACTTGTCCATATTTCTTCTTTTAATTGTCCCTATTTAGTTGTCCATTTTGACAAATCAAGAAAGGACAACAAATTTTTTCCTATTATACCCTTATTTAAATAAAGTAAATAAACTTATGAACTTCCCAACATTGATTAGTTATCTTGAGTTAATTTATTTTGAAATTGTAAATTGTACTGTAAGGGTAAAATTGTAACTTCACTATGCTAATCATTGTTGCCTTAATCTGTGTGTCATTTCTAAAGTGGACAACTAAATAGGGACGGAGGGAGTAGTAAAATAATATAACAAAACATAACAGATATATTTTGTGCAAAGTTTTATACCAAAAGAAGTTCTTGAAATACAAACCAAACCATATTGTTTCCTACGCAAGTTAGGAAATTTTGTATGAATTATCTTATGCTAAATAAGTGGAATAAAAATGCGAGATTTAGTAATTCATGAATCAAAGCAACCAAAATGAACAAAATTGCCCTCTTATCTTAATCAGTTTATTCTAAAAATAAACAAAATACATTTTAAACCCTAGATTACAATACAAACGTAATAAATTCTTACATTACAATTCATGCATATTACAACCCACATTATTAATTAATGACCATTGTTAATTCTCGCGTAACTTGAATCGAAGCCATACGTCATCTAAAAGTATTAGCCATACGTGGATAAGAACATCTTAAGTCAAAAAATTAACTTACAATAAGCAATCAATTAATAACAATCACAATATGTTCAATTCACCATATAGCAATCCGATCATTTTTATCCTCCATATTAACTATTATTTGTTCTCCATATGACAATCCACTTGTTATTACTCACCAGTCACCATATAACAATCCATGCCACTACAAATGTATAACTTCACCATCAACAACACGACTTTTGGCTCCAACAGAGATGCCAGCCAGTGCATAGGAAAGGTCATAAACCGAATTTTGCACAACGAATCAAATCAACCACAATATCTGACCCAAAAAAAAAGAAGGGTCAAGCACAATATGCAGGATTTCAGAGTGCACAAAGAATTAAAAAGAAACACAGAGCTGTCTCCAGGACTTCCACCAACACTAAGGAGACTTACTAAGAGCATGTCGCACAGTCTAGGAAGATAACTCTAAACACACACCAAGAAAAAAAAAACTAAATTTGAACTAATTAATCAAGATCAACAGAAAGCGAAGAATCTAGAGGTGAATTGAGTGCAGTCAGAATACAATCTAAAGGAGTCAAAGCTGGCCAATTTAATTATTTTCTTGTTTTCAAGTTTATAAGGCCCTGCAGAAGTTGTAGTTGTAAACTTTTAATTGTTACCTAAACTAGATGGAAAAGAAACTTCCGGATTTCCTGGGCACTGGCAAATTGTAATAAAGGAACTCTGCCCATTGGAGACATGGTAGGAAGAAGGGATATTAGGCTGAGCCTGAAGCACATAAGCAGCCAAGGAAGAACCTGACCTTAAACCTGCAATGTCCACATACTCACCGTTACCTTTACAATCACTACTTGGGCAGATACTTGACTTACAAGGCAGGACTCCAAGGTAAGGAAATAGAAAGTTGCAATCACGTAGAACAAAACCATTTTACAGATTCTTCCCCTACATAGAACCAGAGTGATAAATCAAGAACCGGCACTTGTGCTACTTGTCCAATCCACCTGCAATCTCAAAAATCAAATACAAAATAAGGTTAGGTGATAGCCACAAGTATCACAAATTCTGAGTAGTATCACTCAGTCTGTCCCTAAAGAAAAACCCAAAAAAGAAAAATTAAATGATGGACACAGAAAAGAGAGCAGTTGAAGCTCTGATCAACTAAACCTTCAAATTCTTCCATCAGAAGGTGCATGCAGAAAGCACATGACCATAATCTTTTTGTCGTATCATAACAACTCCATGCAAAGAGTGAATAATCATCTATTCATTCAGTAAAAACCCACTTCATCCACGTGAAGAAGCAATGTTTTGATATATGCTCAGGTAGGTCCACCTGTATAAATCATGATATTAGACAACCACAAACAAAAGTAATTTTAACATATCAAACAAGGATATTGCACACTATCTACCAACATTTACCCATGAGGCTGTCTAGGTACCCACACTCCTCTTTCCATCGACATAAAACAAAGATCTAACAGAAGTAACATGATGCATGTAACTCACTGCTCAAAATCCTATTCTTTCACCTGAGAAAGATGAGCAAATCAGCATGATTGTGCTATTCAAACTGTCACTGATGGACAAAATCCTTAAACCTGTTAGTTGCCCAAGTAACAGTCTAAATTATATATGACAAATGTCAAATGCTCTAAGAGCCTATACATGGAAGAGTTGGACACCTAAAGGTTCAGGATTCATATGTCAAATGTCAAGATAGCAATAGAAAACTGGAAAAGTATGGCAAGACCTTGAATGAAAACAATGTATTTTGAACTTACGCTGCTCCAAGTAGTAGAATACCCATCAGTAGAAAGCAACCAGTCACCAGATGTCGAATGCAACTCCAGTTGATTTGTAATTACATCGGCAAATTCATCCCCATTTAATTCCTCAAAGTCAATATCCCTTCTCTTTTTCTTTCTGTGTTTTTGCCTTTTCTTGCGCTTATTTCTGGCTGATCTATTGTCCTGCTCAGACTCACTTTCTTCCAGAAGCTGATCATGATCTAATATTGGATAAGTCTTGGATTTGCGGAAGCTTATATTGTTGCAAACAAATAAGTTTTCCCAGGAACTGGAATTTCTGAAATCCTCAGATAAGTAACAGTAGAAAGCCCAAGACTGCAGTCCCAACCATTTGATAGTCTCTAAAGATTTTCTTCTGAAGCATTCCCTCAGAATTGGTGTAAATGTATCTTTAGGGTTTGTTGGTTTACAAATTTGGAAAACAACATGCCTAACCTTCTCCTTTTGCTCCTGACTACCTTCTTCACGTATAAATCGTATAAGCTGCCGACTTTGAGTAGCAACTGCATTCAAGAGAAGCAACTGATCAAGAGAATTATTGCCATCACACTTGGAGAGGATGATCTTCAGCACTTGATCAAGAGAATCATGGCAATCCTTCTTTTGCAAACTTGGTTTAACATAACTTTGGAGTAAATCCAAGAAAACCATTAGATCTTGTTCCTCAAGAATGATGAGAAGGTGTTGACATAAGAAAGAGAAAGATTGCTCAATCAGAAACTCATCTATAATTTCCCATACTTCTTTCAAATTATCCTTGTACATCAAGTCAACAAACATATTGATAAAAAAATTATTATCAATGGTCAGAATATCACCATCTCTTAGTGACTCGGCAAATTCCTTAGATGACCAAAATTCAGGAACATACTCAAGAAAATTCTCCACTGTTCGTTCGACATCCAGATCAAGAAAATAGTGAGGCTTAGTGGCAACCATTGCAGGTGATTGCCCATGTTTCCCCTTCCACTCGAGTTCCTCCCAACAGATGTCTCTATTCACAAAAGCAAACTGGGACAGTGCCTTAGCCCCCTTTGTATGGTCCACATAACCACTACTAGCAAAATTAGAGAACCACTGCAAAATACGATTTCTGTTTCCTGCATGATCAATAATTTGCGCACACACAAGAAGATACTGAGATCAGATAATCAGTCCAGAAAATGTCTTAATAAGTGAGAAAAGGTGTACCACATAACTAACCCCTACAGTGATCAAAAATCACAAAGCAACAAATCATACTGGACATTCCCATATCAAGAATATTAGAACAATGATTAGGAACACTATTTATCGACATTAGCTTCTCATTTCCCTCAACATTTTGAGAAGGAAAATTACATAGAAGAAATTAAGACAAATTATTTCACTTTATCATTCGTTCAGTAACTCTTGAACAAACCCTAGAAAGAATGTACTCAGGCAATTTCATTCAGTTTTTATCTATGTTGCGGGGACCCCTAAATCCCTGCCACACCTGTGTCGATCTGACACAAATGATATGATTTGTTGGTGTGGGACCAACACCGGATTTAGTTTACTTACCTCGGGTGCTTCGAAAAATATCTATACGTACAATATTTTAGGTAACTGTGGTGGCCGTGCCAGCTTGCACACACCTTGTCTAATTCCACAGGGTATGTCCTACCTCCCACCAACATAGGTACCAGAAGATTGTCCATCAAGGCTTGGACTGATGAGAAATCTACACACAATACATGCATATATAATATATATATATAATATATATATTTTTTTGAAATATATATATAATATATATA